TAAGACTCCGAAGGCTCATTGTTGTTCTCTTCGCAGTCCGCGGAAGTACGCCGACGAATTAATTAAAAAATATCGCGGAAGTCATTGCCCTCTCTTCGATCCCGAACACGGCGGATATTATTTGAATTCTTCCACTGAGATAATTGTGTTTTTATGAAAATTCCAGAATTGATGAAGTGGTAATATGCCATTCACAGATGTCTCGTGGAGCAATTTTCAATTTTAATTTTAGAGAAGCTCTGTCGTGCCTTGTAAAAAAGCAGTCAAAGTATACTTTAGCAGATTATAGTCAGTTTGAGAACAAAAATTAAAAAGGTAGTCCTTATTTTGTTTATTATTTGTTTCGAAAACTTTTTTGAAACCATACTCTCTTTTAACACGAGATAGCGGATACCGCTACGAGTGCGATGAACTTTGCCTTTCAAGTGAAATAAATACGGTTTTAGTCAGACATCCAGCCGCATGACAGAATTCATTTATTTATTATCAGTCGCCGGCGCCCAGTCATTACTCATTAACATTCTATTTTCATCAACTAAATAATTGAAAACTAAACCTATCATTTATTGATCCTTTGCATTCAAGCATGATATTCCTAATTGTACCTAAAAAGCAGCAATGCGATAAATTATTTTTTCTTCTATAAAAGTAAAATGTTTGTAGAAGCTAATTAGCTGGTATGCAAACTTCTACTAATCTGCGTGCGTGCGCGCGAGAGCCAAGTGGTAACAAGTTGCACAATCAGTACAAGTTGGAGGGAACGCGCGTAGTCGAGTATAAAGCAGGTTAGGATCTTCCCGCGAGGCGGATGCAACTGATTTCAAAAGCGCGTGGCACATACGCGAGCGAGCGAGCTTGCGAGCTTTGCATAGATTTATCAATAATTACGGATGGGTCAAAAGCGTGAGGGAGAAAGAGAAAGAGAGAGAGCAGCTGAACTTGGAATTATATTCGTATGCGTATACCGCAGCCGGCGAGGGATAATGCCTGAATTACAGAGGCGGAAGATAACGTCGGCATTTTCCTCTCCGCCAGAGGCAGGATCCTCAAACCCTATTCCTCTCTCTCTCTCTCTCTCTCTCTCTCACCCACGTGATCTATTGTATTGTATACTTTGACTCGCAAAGCTATACACCTTGCCTCGATACACATGAGTTTTAAGTCTATTCAATGACCTGCCAACTACTGACCTGAGTAATTGGCTTTCACGAGGAATATGGAGGCTTAATTGACTGACCGCGCGTGCCGACGTTTACGATTATGTGCATGCTACGCGTACAATTCAACTTGCGCCGCAGACGTTTTGTTGCTAAAGATAACCGGTGCATGAGTGAGTTTTTTCATTGAAAGTTGTTTTTGCTAGGAAAATGGAAATTCGTCGGGAGAAGCGCGTACGGCGGCTGTCCCCTCCAACTAAAATCGATTCCCGGGGATTCGCGTGCTCGTCGATAGGAGATTGCCAAGAATAGTCGTTAAAGAACAGGAAATTGAAAGTACTCCTTGCTTCGTGTATTATTCAAAAAACTGCCTCTTTACTACGGGAAGATTATACGCGACCATATCACTGATAAAGAACTCTTATATCTGAAATTCTTCTTGACCCCCCCCCCCCTTCAACGAAAATCATTATGAGTCAATATACGAAACAACAACAAAATATACGTATCTCCACGCTGCCCTTGCAATTTTGTTAATGACACGCTATTTCCTCGTAAAAGAACAAATCACCGTAGCGACGTTATGACAGTATGTTCCGCGACCCGAAAGCTCGCGTCGCGCGTACGTTTTTTTCTTTGTTTTTTATTGAAGCAACAGATTTGCCAGCAATTAATGCGCGCCGCGCATAAAAAGCCTAGACAGTTATTCGTGGAAGCTCGTATAAACCAGCCGCGCGTGCGTCGCGCGAGTACATCTTGCCTCGATCTTTTTATGACACTTTTATAGTTGTCCGTCCCCATGGGCCTGTCGCTACTCTTTTTTTCAAACATTTTAATCTCTCCCTTTGCTCTCTTTCGACGCATAAAGCAAAGTTACACCAGCAGCGAGTCGCTTCGTTACGGGCTACGCGCGCCGCGCTCTCGTTTCTTTCATTTTTTTTTTTTACGAGCAGAGCAGCAGCAGCTTTGAAGGGGTCCGCGAAAAACTTGGGCAAAAGAGCCGAGCCATTAGTGTCACTGCTTCGAGCGCGCACCGCGTTGCCGTATAAATTTAGTGGAGACGAGATGTTGCGGCTTCACAGACGCGAGCATCAGGTAACTTGTTTTAAGCCCCGAGCTTCTTTTTTTTCTTTCGCGCCTTCTTCTCCCTTTTATTCTCTTGTTCGATAATTATTTTTCGGCTAACGGCTTTCATTACTGAGCAAATTGCCAGATAAGTCGATAGTTCCTATTCGTTGTGTCTTTTCGACGACAAGCCTCACATCACGTTTCATCGGGAATAACAAATGAAAACGTACTTCAAGTGGATTTTAAGAAGACTCGTCAGTCTTCATAACGATCCGAATGCTCAAAGAAGACGAAGAAAAATCCTATGAATGCAGAGAATAAATCAAAAAGTTGGCAAGGTCCAAAGGCAACGACGCGGCAAAATGAAATAATCCCTCCGATTGAACGGGGATAGAACAGGGGGAGCAAAGCTACACGCGCAAAAGGGCTCGCAGGGAGTTATTTCTCGCGCGAGGTACTCCGCGAGATTGAATTTCGGTCCTTTTGTTTTCCAATCTGCGCCATAGATCGTTCGCGCGCCCATCGACAACGGACTTGGATTCGAGAACATAAGAATTCACCCGTCGATGCATCTTCTGAAAATCTTAGGTAAATTTGAGAAATCTGATGATACATCAGTGTGGCACAAAGACATTCAGCTTTAGGGGCTTGAATAATCAACCTGAGAAATCATGTCATTACGAGAAGAGCTCGTACATATATAGCTAGAGCCGCGCACGCCTGGGACATTATTTCGAAGGGCTGTAGTATGCTTTTAGTGGAGAACTACGGGAGAGGAAAAAAAGGAGCGGGCTTAAATTAATTATCGCGCGAAAAAGAGAGAGAGAGAGCGAGAGAGCGAGAGAAAGAGAGAGAGAGAGAGAGAGAGAGAGAGAAAGAGAGAGAGAGAGGGAGTGTAATTTGCGGCTCGACCTTCAAGGCCTCGAGGCGTCTTTGTTAAACGAGAGCCTCGCGCGTATAAACGCGTCTTTTCCCCTATTCTTCAAAGCCGCCCAACCCTCGACTTTGCTTTCTTTACAGGCGCACCGCCATCGAGGAGGAGAATTCGGCCTCGCGTGGCTGATGGCTTTGCCATTTTCGTTTTCGCGAAATAACGTGCGAAATTCTTGTCACGCGCGCGGCCTTTCCTCCAACGTGATCGCGTCCCGAACGAGGCAACGGGGGGAATTTTCAAAGGCGTGCGCAGCGAAGAGCTCGTCAAATCAATGTTAATTACGCAAGAGAGCTGGCACTCGACGAAGGCGCTCTCTCTCTCTCTATCGCTCGTTATCTGGCGCTATCTCCGGCGGACCATTGGCGAGCGCCGCGAACGAGCGCATTCCCGAATCCGAGCGCTCGAGCTTGCTCGGCTCGCAGTCTGAAGAAGTAGAACAGCCGCTGGCTTGGACAAATAGCCCGCAATTTGGGCAATCTTTATGGAGTCACCCTTAATCAGTCTTCGAGCCAGCAACTAATCCGCAAATTGATTTGCCCTTCCCCGCACACGCTGTAACGCATAGCGCGGCCGTTCGGATAATTTTGTTGTTTTAGAGACCATTCCAGCTTCCTTTACTGTTATTGCGCACGTGCTATACTAGCAACGGTTTTTTATTGTTCGCCGTTAATAAACGACCGTCTCCGCATATAGCAGCAACAACGACAATACCATTTCCATCTGTGGCAAAATTATCGTTACGATGACTTTACGGTTTTACGTTTCCTTCGATTCGCCCAATGAGAGACGACGAGAAAAGGAAAAAATCAGCGAGGACTCGGTCGCCAAAAGCTTAAAGCGCGAGCGAGGGCCGTAAATAAGCGAGCCAAGTGTCTTTTAAATACTTAAGCAGGGCGATAAGCGAGTTTTAGCTTGGATGCGGAAAGCAGCCAGCGCTAACTAGAAGATGAACAATAGATAACCTCGTTACATTTTCAGCCCTTTGACGGTTAAGCTCTACCACCACCGGTAGCGGCTGCGCGCATCGTCTTAGCGTTAAGCCGCGAAACGATGTGCCAACCTCACAGTATAACATCGCTCATTTTGACACGGCTCCACTTTCTTTTTCTCCCTTTTCAGGTAGTAACTTCTTTAGAACCACCTTACTGGCTCTGTTTTCGGAATTAGGTGGGGCGCCAGTTTATCGCGATGAAAGGGTTGCGCAATCGTAAAAGAAAAGAGAATGTTGGTTCGCCATACTTAACGCGCGTTATTATCTTAGCTTGAGAGTGTTTTCTTGTTCGCTCATTTCTCAGTTAGCGAGGAAGGCATTTCTTACAATTAATCCTGCCGAGTACTGCCGTTGCGGCTGCTACTCTCGCGAGAAGTAGTCTCATTTTTCTCTACGTTGCTTGCAATTTTTCCCACTGCTCCTCTCTCTCTCTCTCTCTCTCTCTCTCTCTCTCTCTCTCTCTCTCTCTCTCTCTCTCTCTCTCTCTCTCTCTCTTCTTCTCGCCTTGATCATTTTTTGGAATTCGGTATGGCAACGACAAATTCGGGATCAACATAGATATGGGGAAATGTTTTGACAGAGGAGCAGTGCGACGCTGTTGACCAGTTGGAAATACACTGGCGTCTATTTGACCTGGGCTGTTTATGCATCCCGCAGAGCAGCTGCACTCTAGGCTACTGCTGAGCCAGCTGTTTGAAACGTTACGCGACTACACCAAGATATACAGCAGTGCAATTATGCGGCTTATCGCGACAAAATTCGTAGACAAAGGACTGACTCTTTCGAACGGCAATCGCTTGTCTCACGGCAAGTAAGTTTGGGCACAATATAGCGTTCATAGTATACTTACGTTGGACGTATTGGCGATGGCATTGGTGGGGCTCCCACCCGCATTGTTGTGCGCCTGATCGGTCTTGAGCTCTCGATGATTGCTAAACTGCACGTAGACAGCCCTGCCGCGAAGCTGGGCCGGGCACGACGCGTAATACGTTACCATCGTCGCCGCGGCATTCTCGTCCGCCATTTCCAAAAATGCCTGCAACCAAGAACAATAATTGTCATCGTTAGTCGTCTGAAAATTAACGTTCGCGCTTATTTTTTATTCGGTTTGTACGAAGTAAGTCAATGTAGGTTAGGTAAATTTCGTCAAAGTAACTTTAATTAAGTAAAAGTTCATTCCCGGCACTATAAAAGATAATTTGAATTTTATTTCATTTTTTCTTTTAATATCTGATTTCGCAGTTCGTAGAAATAGCCCGAGCGCCAGAAAGATACATTGGCTGGGAAGCAGAAGAGCGGAGCAGCGAGGCACTCTGTAAAGCAAATCGCGAAATTACTTTCGGTAAATTTCGACCTTCGCACACCACTCTTCCCCAACTCATTTTTCTCATCCTCACTCTGCGCACATTTTTCTCTCGCTCTCTTGGCCCAAAATTTGAATTGTCTCTGTGAAATTCTTATTTATGTTCTTTTTTCGCTGTTAATCAATTGACATAGCAAGGCGCTGTTCTAGAACTTGGAAGCCGTCGATTCGAGAAATAATTGCGTTGCGAGCAACAATAACAACAACAACAACAATGGGAGAGGTAGATATTCCGGAAGTTTTAAATACCAACTCTCTCTTTCTCTCTCTCTCTCTTCCTCCCTCTCTCACGATCAAATTCGACATTTTCCACAATGAAACTTCATCTGCGCAGTATAGGAATTTACGAGGCAAGAACGAAGTTATTGACACTGGCGAATATTAATGGCTTCGCATGAAAATTATTGGTCTAGCTCGATATAAAACGGGGCAGAGAAACTAATGAGGATTTTGCATTTAACAACTTTACAAATATTGGTGACTGCGCAGAAAGGAATTTCACATCGAGTAACGCAACACGACAAATAAGCATACAATATTAAGAGCTTTAAATGCCAATACTGCACAGGCAGCAACAGCAACGGCAACGGATTGTTAATTTTGAAAACTTTGTTGGCAAAGCCGGCTTTCGATTGGAAATCGAAATATCGCGCGCGATTGTATATTTGCGATTAATATAATCTCTAACTAATTGAAACACTGCAATATGACGAATCTCGCCAGAATGACGTTATATATTAAAAAGAAATAAGCGCATCGAGATAGATATATCAGTGTTGTCGTTGAAATAGTCAGCAGCGCACTTGGCGTTGGCATCACAACACTGCAAGCAGAAGAGCGTGCGTGTGTTTGTTAATATGCGTATGGCGAAGAGGCCGAATATGCGCCAATACGTTAGCGAGTAGTAGCAATAGAGGGTCCTGAGGCGCCAGCCGCCGTCGCGCCGTATGCGTACGCGAATAAACACGGGGGTTTGACGACGATGACGAGGAGGTGGAAGAGGAGGTTGTGCATTGTAAACAAGGTTCACGAGCGCGCGCTTGTGTGCGTGTGAGAGCGCACGTGCATCGCATATGCCGAGGCGTCATCAAACGTCTTAGAAATACCGGGCCGTGCCGATTTGGAAACTATTAAAAAAGCACTCGCGAAACAACAAGTTCAATCGAATATTGAATTCAACGGAACGTAAATAAATACGGACGAATTGGTTTTATATCGTACACAATATCAAGTGTGATTCGCACGGAAAGATTTGAAAACCAATGGGTAAAGGTGCGCGCATTTGAATAAAGCGTTATATACAATGTCAAGTTAACAAACGCGCAAAATTGCCGACGGGAGTTAATCGATTGCAGAAAAAGGGAAAGGGAAGGGGGATAAAAACGCCGAGTTTGCTCTATCGCATAAAACACTGGCGGCATACACAAAAGAATGAAAGTGGAACGGTTAAAGCAAATCACGCACTGCAACAAATGTAGTACACGCTCGCACATATTTAATGAAGCCGCTGGAGAGAAAAGCCTCGAACGCTTTCTCGATTCATAATTTTAAGAAAAAAAGGAACACATCGCAGGAGAGAACTATACGGGGCTGTGTTGAAATATTGATAAGCGCGGGCTATATACACGGTTTCGCAGCGGCGGCCGACTAGGATTCATTACGCATTTGTTGCCGAGCGCGATGAGTTTGCGTTATCCGCACACGAGAACATTCGGGTTTTCTACGCGAGAGTTGCTGAACTAAAAGATAAGAAGAAATTATTAAAAAAAAACATTCCGTTCAAGCTGCATTTTCCATCATTTTTTATCTCTCACTGGCGCAAAAAATCGATATCGATAAAAAAAAAAAACGTATCTGCATTTATAGCTCGGTCGTTTAAAACATGCGCGCACTGAGAGACTTGAAAAATTATTAGTTGTATTAGTTGTCTAAAATTAATCTATCGAATTCTACTGAGCAATATTTATTTATTTAACCATTTCCATTGACTTTTCAAAAACTTTTGATATTTTCCTATTCGCGATATTTACAGCAACAACTAAAAATTATAATCATTTATGTCTAAATCACAAAATCGATGACACCCTACATACCTCGCTATTCACTAATTAACTTGTGCACAATTCATTTTTGGAGCTAGCTAGCTACTAGTCAATACGTCAAGGTTAATATATTAAGTCGGTATACCAAATGGAGAGGCTGTGTAAGATGAAAAGAAACCCAAGACTTGTGTAAACACTGGATTAAAAAAATGTGTTAATTGACATATCAACACTTATAATTCTTACGGTATCATGCTTAGAACAATAAAAGTCAACCTTTTAATAAATGTACACCGCTAATTCTACTTACTAATTAATTAAAGAGTTAATTGATACTCAGCAAGAGTCAAAACGGACGAACGTTGGATCAGTTGGATCTGTACGGTTTTATATACTTAGAACATTGTGGGGATAAAAACATAAATAGATACCAATAAGATAACTGAAGCTGCAAGATATGGGTGTGCGTATGTAAGCTATTGATTAGGCTAATAACTACTTGCGGCTTATGTTATCATTTCTTTGGATGTGGAAGACTCGGGGAACAATCGATTAGGTTGGATAATGCTTATCGTAATTGAGAATAACGGTATCAACAATGTTCACAGAAGTCTTAAAATTGCTTTTCAATTTAATGGTATCGTAGATTTTATTAAGACTGTATTTGTTATCATAGATATGAGCATCTTGAAAAATGCAAGTTCAGGTTTGTTTTCGCAATCTAGTAATTTAACCTTATAAAAAATAATATTTTGTTTCGTTTCCAATGTACGTTAAACTAATACTGATTACCTTTCTATTTTTAAACAAAGAATTTATGTTCATCAATATGTTTATGTAATTTTAGAGTTATTTTTTATTATAACGTTAATTATATGCAAGAATTGTAAGTGTTGACAGTTCAATTAACATTTTTTTTCAACTAAGCGTTTATACCTGTCTTGGCTTGCTTTTCAATTCTTACATAACTCTTCATTTGGTATACCAACTAAAAGTATTAACATTAGCGCATTACTTAATATCTAACCAGCTGCAAAAATTAATTGTGCATGAATTATTTAGTGAATGGTGAATTATGTATCATGCCATCGATTTGTAATTTAGACATAAGTGCTTGTAATTTTTATTTGTTGCTCTAGATATAGTGAGAAAAACATTAAAAATTTTCGAAAAATCAATTGTTAAATAAATAAAGATTGCTCAGAGGGATTCGACTGATTAATTTCGAATAACTAAAAAAATTTGTGATATTATTGTGAGCATTCTGAAAAGAAACCATACTGAAAAATGATTATACGTGCTGAAAAGAAGAAAACATAAAAAAGGGTCTAATAATCCAAAGCTCGACTACAAAGCTTGAAATCCCATCGAATGCAGGATCGAGAATATCGCTCGAAAGGGTAGCCTCACCCGTGAAGTATACGAAATCCAAATTTTCACTATGCCTCAAAGCGTACTCACCATGAACTATTTGAGCTTGATACAAAGAAAAAAGAACAAGTAAGTGTTTACCATATTACGAAAAACAAAATCGCTCTCGCTCGCTCTCTCTCTCTCTCTCTCTCTCTCTCTCTCTCTCTCTCTCGCTCCCTCTCTCTATTGCTAACTCGATTTTCCGCGGGCGACCTATTCAATGCTGTGACGCGAGGCTGCAAAGTCCAATTTCCGAATGGCTGTCCGGCTGTTCTAGGCTCATCAGGAAGCAATGTGCCTCGACGTTGTTTCCTCCTCTCGTACGGCTCTATTTTTTTACCATACTAAAAGTACGTCTGAAGTAGCTTGAATATGAATTTTTTTTGTAGCTTGAATATTTTAATGCGTCGCATGTGTTATTGGTTTTCGGACGAATGTCCAATTTAGAAATGAAAAAATAGAGCAATAACTATGATTTTTTAACTTATATTTTATGTTGCAAAGAAAATAAAAGGTCAGATTCATTTTTAATAATGAGTTCTACTGTGTAATCAGTAACTTGCCATGAAATTTATATTTACGAATTTGGAATTAAGAGTTCTCTGAAATCTTGTTCACGATAGTATAAATATTTATTCTAATAGATAAAAATATCATAACCGATATTCATTCCTCTACAGCTATTAATAAATTAGAACGATTTTATTAGAAGCACTCAGAATATCCATACAGAAATTCAAGGCAAATGGAGAAGTTTACCGAAAAAATTACGGTAACAAGTTGACAATGCAAGGACATGGCGCCCATGCAACAGGTTTTACGAAGAAATTCGCACAAATTTTTCAGTGATGAATCCGTAATTTCTGAGTTTTAAAAATTTACAAAGAAATTTTATAAAAATTCTGGAATTTCGTTATAATATTTATCATATCGTCACCGTACAATTTACGGTAACGGGTACACGCTTTTTACCGTTACTTTTCGCTATCAAGACTCACGTAATCATCTTATTGTTAGTCGACGTTGTACTTGATCGATGTAGACAAATAAGAAAAGGAAAACCATTTCTATGTTTCATTAATTAATTCGTAAACATCCTCAGAACTTTATTATAAACTAATAGAATGAAAAATAATATAAAATACAAACTAAAACAAACCAATACAAAGTAACAAACAACTTACAATATGAGTTTCCATAATTCTTGTGGTCAGAACA